TCTGAACATTATACATCTGATAACAGGTTATCTCTGATGTCACTGCATGATGAGACAGGATGTCACCACTGATTGAAATAGTAGATCTTCCCGCTGCTAGATCAGCCTTATAACCTAAGTGATCAGCCCTGTATTAATTACTGTAATCTGTTTTCCACTATCTGTTCACTGTATTATAACACGGCCCAAAGGTAGAAAAAGCTACTCTATTTACCTCGTTTCCTGTTTTTCGTTTTTAGAAACACTGTGCACTGAAGTTAGCTATGCTTTAACTTTTCACTTTTAACACCTCAGGCATATTTTTTCAGTTTATGAAAATGTTTCTGTTCCATTATTGTTGGAAGCAAAGAAAATGTTTTGTAAATGAATTTAGAAAAAAACACACACATGAAAAAAATGAAACTTTAAAACAAATTCTTCATAAAAAAAAACTTTTTGTTTTCCCAGATAGATTTTTTTATTTCATTTTGTTTTTTAAATTGTATTTTTTACATTTATACATACTTTTTTTAGTTCATTTTATCCTTTTTTTTATTTTACTTTTTGAAATCTCTGTTTTTATATTGAGTTTTATAAATGATGGCCTTTGTTTATGTAGATAAATCTTGAAAAGGCTTAAGATGAGTTCACACCAATGCATTTCAGGTGAACCTCTGCTTCACCGTGGTCACCATGACCTTAAATGGAGGAGCGTGGTCAGCTTCTACCTGCCTGACAGTCTTACTCGGCATGGCAGACGAGTATTTTATGATGTGTGTGACAGAGCTTGCTTTGCTGGGGAACGTCGAGCAACGCCATCGGCTTCAGTGTCTATGGTTTCACCCGATTCTCCAGAGACGGAAGCATTTGGGAGCAGGGTTGAGTTTCTTGCCTGAATTCTTCAGGACAAGTGGAAGAAACAGGAAGAACATTTCTTTTTTCCATTTCTTCTGAAGAAACCCGAAGAAAGTCCTGGCAATAGATCATATTTTGAAGAACTGGGATAGTTCCATAGAAAAGTCAACTCACTATATCCACCAGGCTACATAAGGAGAAATCTTTATGAGAATACACACAGTAAAACAAATTAAGAATTTATATGTAGGTGAGTGAATAACTATTGGTCACAAAACAGCCGTGTTGAAACAATGCATTTCTACATACAGAATAGCAGCAATATAGCAGCAAAATACAGCTCAGTATTCCAGCTCATTCTTGTCACGTAAGATTTGGAGAATACATATTTAAAACAGAAGTGATAATTTACTGATAGCCTTTAAATGGCAGGAAAACACTTTCTTGTATACTCAGATTCCACCAGCTAGCTTTCTTTTTCTTTAATTTCTTCTTCTTTTCATGTCCCAAAGCTACCTTGGTTTAAAAATATTGAACCCCACCTGGAGGTTGGTAATGGATTTGGGCCTGTTGAAGGCAAAATATTAATCTCAGGAAAAAAAAAAAAAACTTTCCAGAAAATTTTACCTTCCAAGTTTCTTCAAGAAGAAACTGTAAGAAACAGTTTCTTCCGGCCTGAAAAAAACCTGGAAAAATCAACAACCGGGAACAACCGCCATCCGAAAAAAAAAATAAAAATACAACCCTGGTTTTGAGAGAACCAACACTGACTCCCAAGAACTCTGTCTGGATCATATTTGGAGGAGCTTCCTGAGCTGGAGCTAGGACGCTGATGGTTACGTTTATTGTCGATAAGGCTTTTTCTTGGGCTGCTAATTCAGAAATGCCAATTTAGTAGTTGGATAATGACCAACATTACTAAATATTATTTTATATGAAATTAATTTATATTAGCAAGAGGCTAAAGATGAAAAACCTATATATATCTATATTTTTTTTTTTTCTTACAAGAATTTTGCATATTAGAAAAAGTCAAATGAAACACAATTTTCAATAGTTTTTCAACTTTATTCAGTTCCTTTATTACTGTTTCCTTCATAAACTCCTTCTGAAATCTGCTGCCATCCAGTCATGTGAGGTGACAGAAATCCAGCACAGAGTGGAGAAGGCAGCAATGATTCCCACCTTTGATTAATACAAGCTCAGTGTTTGGCTTGGCAAGGGCGACCCCCGCTCCTAATGGCAGCAAGCTTTACAAAGGCCGTCCAATCAAAACAGACGAAGATGAAAATGTGGCATTTTTTTTTGGAAGGGGATAGTTTCAGGAAAAGTAGGGTTGTAAAAACCTCAACACTTCAAACGAAAGAAATCCAACAGATTTGTAATTCTTGGCCTGAGAAAGATTTATGGTGGGAAAGCTCAAAAACAAAAATGAGTCATCAGAATTTGTCTTATTTGGCTTTTAGAGTAATTTTGAAATTACTTTAAATGACTATGACTGTTGTACTTGGGTAACCATGGTAATTAATGAACAATTAGTTGCTGTTTCTTCTGTGTTTCTATATTTCTTTATGATTAAAAGAAGCAATCCAATGGGGCGATCCTTAAAACCATCCATCCTGCCAGACTGGGAAAGCTTCACACAGGAAAATCAAACCCTTTTTCTACCCTGTCTTTTGTTAGAAAGTGATTACAACTCATTAGAAGTCTATAATACTGTCTAAATATTCTTTTTGTGATGCAATTCAGGAATGAGGGGTGGCCGGCAGCATGCCGGTTCATAAACGCCATTCTAAAATTAGACAGCCGTTCTAGCCCTGTACTGAGATCTCTATCAGAGGATCTCTGATAATCCCCTTGAGCAAATTGATTTACAGCAGTTGCTTTGGATGGTTGAAGTTCTTCAATTAGATTAGAAAAGAAGAGATTAAAATGATTGGAAGTTTTATAAGTAGATCATCTGCGTAGATGAAGGACCCTATTTTATCAGGGTCATTTTGAGGAATGAAGATAGAGAGACGTTTCACAACACCACAACAGCACTGAACTCATATATATATATATATATATATATATATATATATATATATATATATATATATATATATATATATATATATATATACATATATATGTATGTGTGTGTGTGCCAAGAAATGATATGAAAACTGCAAAGAAAACATTACTTATAGCGGAGGTCTTCAACAGGGGGTCCACAGAGGAACTGCATGGGGGTCGCGAAAGTTTCTGTAGATTCGATTTTTTCTTTTATATTCCCCTCTGTAATTGTTTCCACTAATTGAAATGTCTTTAAATACACATTAAAATGAATTCAACACACTGTATTAAACAGAATTTCAGTCATCAATGCACACATTCAGTGACACACAGGAGCTCTTTCAAGCTGGGTACCGTTTCATTCACAACACCTGTCCCATCAACCAGGAATCAGAATCAGAAATACTTAAATATTCCCAGGGGGAAATTACTTTCATTACATTACTCCATCTGTAATTGAGTGACTATAGGACCAGTTTGATATAACACAATTTAATACAATATATTAGGGGATCCCCGCTCCATCTAGCTATGAGTTTGGGTGTCCTTGGCCTGGAAAATGTTAAAAACCCTTGATTTATAGGAATTAAGTTCAGCAAACGCAGAATTGTATTAAAGTTACTTTTTTTATTGTTTTAACATCAAAGATGGTTTGTATTCTAGCTTGATTCCAAACCTGCAACAGTCATTTTGTTGTTTTTGAGAAAAATAGTTTTGACAAAATTAGTTGATAATCTCCCACCTCCTGTTCCCACCTGTTGCTCCAGCTCCACTCCTTTCCATGCATGTTGGTGTGTATGTCACACACATGAATGTTAGGCAATTATGATTCTGTGAAATAATTTCTGTCACATCTTGCTGATGTTTTACCAAGTGGTGGTTCTTGACAGAATTTAAAAGGGGGGCCAGGACAAGAACTAAAGAATAACACACATAATAAAGCAGAGCTAGTGTGCAATGGTTAGTGAGCCACAAAGCCAAGGTTGCACACTTCTGATATAACCGACAAAAACTGGGATCCTTCCTTAGTATGGCAGAAGCTAAGAGCTTAGTGTAGTTTCTAAATAACTGTTAAAGTAAATTGTCAAGTCTAAATATTAATTTGGTCCAAGTGACCAATCAGTAACAGTCTCTTCTGTCATTGCTCATCATCATATGAGACTGATTTACCCTGAAGCAACAAATCTAAGAAAGTAAAAAGTATTCTTAAAATAATTGCTTTGCTCTTAATTTAAAAAAGTCAATAATATCTGCAAAAGGAGTCGGTATTTCTGCTCTTAAAATAACATGCCAACTGTACACTTTAAAGTCATAGGGAAGTCATATTTAAATTTCAAATAATTCCAGCTTAAATATATAAATGTGCTCTTTATCAGACCATATTGTCCCAAAGTTAGAAAATTTCGATTAAAAACAAATCCTGTCTGGGGTTTTCTTTCGTCATCTTATGCAGGCCAGTTAGTTATACGTCAGCTTGTACATCTGAATTCCGTCCTCTTCCACAACATCTTCATCCCCACTTTCCTCCTCTAAATAAAAAATGGATGACAGAGGAGACTCATCCACGACCTCCGACACTAAACTCTCCTCCTCTTGCATGTTTCCTCTGTCCATAGCTTTCCTTGACAGTGTCGTTTCTAAGTCACCAATTTAGTGCTACTTGGTCCCAATGGAATTTCCCATTGGGAACCTAATAGCTTTAAGTTGCTAACTGGTTAGGAAGATGCTTCCGACAAACCGTCCACAACCAAACTGCTTGTGAACCCTCCGCCACAACAATCCTGCCCTCTTGATAAACGACCATTTACATTCACTTTATTCACTCCTGTAAAGTCGTGCACCACTTGGGAGAATTCGGAAATGAAATGGTTGGAACAGCTGCTTCCCTGTAACTTTAGAAAAGACATACAACTTTTGCCAAAGAAATCTCTGTAAAAAGTACAATTTGAACCAGCTTAAAGAACTGCCTCTATATTTGACATTATACAACAGCGGACTGCTTGTTAACCTTACATTTTTATATCTTTAACAGGTATTTTCTCTTTATTTACTTAAACTCACATATTAAAAAATATTTCTGTAAAATTTACATAATATATTTTCTTACAGTAGATAAAATTAATTTAAATGTTCCTGAAAAATGCTATGCTCAGAACACTGTTACTTTTAAATACAGAAATTTTGATAAAATAATTTAGTCATGCACATTTGCCATTGTTAAACAAAAGCACATATTTCAGTCAAAATACACATTTTATACCCCTCATATCAAAACAGTCATATTCCTTCTTTTAATATTCCCATGTTATGCTTCAGGCACAGATTGAAACTAGGACTGAGCCGTTGGCAAAGCTTGGTGCGTTTATTTTGGACAATCCAGGCAATTGTGGTCAGACAAGCAGAGGGTCAAAGCCAGGGAATCCAAGGTGGGGGGCAGGTTCAGACAGGCAGGAAAACTGGATAAGAGAGAAAAAAAACAAGCAGCTTAGATCTTGATAGACTTGGTCTGTTTTGGCAAAATGGCCTGAATGTGTTACCCCTGCGGGTAGACAACAATCTGACGCCGTGCAGGTGGAGGATCCCTCCTTAAATGACTACAACTGCTGATTAGGGTGATAAATCCCCTGCGTGTGGGTCACAGCAGAAGTGCAGGTCATCCTCTGTGTTTTTTATTTTTGTATGTTCACTGGACCTAAAGAGAGTAATATGTAACATACTATATATATATATATTTTTATCTGTCTAATAAAAAATACCATATTTTTAACAACAGCATTCTCATTTTAACCAGGCTTGATTTTGCAGTAAAATTAATGGTATTGTTTAGTGAAACATCCATCCATCCTCTCCAGTTTATGTCGTCAGGGTTGGGGTGGGGCCAGGGCCTATCTCTGGCACTTGGGTGAGAGGCAGGGTACACCCTGGACAGGTCATAGTCTGTTGCGGGGCAACACAAAGACACACAACCATGCAAACACACATGTAGGGACAATTTAGAGAAGCCAATTAACCCAGCAGTAATGTTTTCGGACTGTGGGAGGAAGTAAGAATACCCGGAGATAACCGACACATGCACAGGGAAACATGCATACTCCATGCAGAAAGACCCACTTTCTACCTACTGCTCCACCAAACAGCCCCAGTATATTATTTCCTACAGAGTGAGGAGGATACATTGCTATTGTTCTGCTGGACATTAGCAACAACATCTTTATTGGTCAATCTGCGAATTTAGTGCTTGAGGTGAAAATCTGTGAAAAGCAATTGATGAAGAAAAGGACAATTTTAAAACTCAATCTGAAAAACTTGATAAAATTGCAAAAATAAATCAGAAAAAAATGAAATAGAAATATTTAATACAAAGTTTAAATAAAAATAAATAAAAACAAGTTTTATTTGTGGATTTTTTTTTTCATCTACACCACATGTTTTTCACTTGCCCAATAATGGTACCAAATGGGAACATAAAGGGGCAGCAGGCCTTTTCAGCGTGACCCAGCCTTTGGGTGGATCTTTTTGTTTGGGCTGAGTTGCCTTGGTTGCACGCTCCTTTTTTTCATTAGTCTCCAGATTGGGTACAAACATCCAGCATAAAGACCCTTCTGAGTTCATCCTTTTCTTTCTTCTGTCTCTCTGTTTGCTCCAGTTTTATCTGTGCAGTGCAAAGCTCCCCAGATATCCTACTTTACCTTCTGCCTTCTCAGTTAATCCCATCTGAACACTTCCCTTTACATCTACACACACTTTGCTCATGTCCTCTCCTTTCCTCCGCTATCTCAGTCAGATCACTCTTTTCTCTGCAGACATCAGATGAAACCCTCTAGAGTCGGATAAAGATAAAACCCTGGGAGATAGACTGTGAGCGTGAGAGAGAGTTAATCCCCTCCAAACCCCTAGCTGGTCTCAAACCCCTGGCACGTTCTGTCTGCTCAGACTCTCAAAGCCATTACAGCCATCCATCCTCTCCCTCCGTCCAGCATGAACTAACCTGCTCCGCTGCTGTTCACCCATTTGAAAAAATTTAAAGCTTGAGCCAGAGCCTCTGTGGGCTGAAATAGACACGCCGCTCCACCCAAAAAAGTCCCTGTTGTCCATGTATTTTCTACGGATTAACCCAACAGGTGCCTAATTACCGTAATCATGAAACGCTCGCAGGAGCAACAAAACGAAAAAGAAAAAAAACAAACTCCCTCTGCTTTGTTGGGGTCTAAGGCAGAATCACATGTTGCATGAGCACACTGAGCATTTCAAGCAGCTCCTGGAGATTGTGTCCCTCACGAATGAGATCAAGCATCTGCTAGTGTTTAAATTTGAAAGGGACCAATAGGACCAAAGGGATTGTATTGGCTAAAAAGGCAGGTGCAGGAGCGATAAGCAGGGAGCAGCTGGTGAGGTCATACACGTGCAAACCGTGTGCACTCCTTTATGAGTGCCTGGTAAATGTTCTGCAGCCCCTCCCTTCGCTCCTCTGAGCTGAGAGGAAGGGTTCAGAGCTTGCAAAGTAAGCATCCCCTCCTGTCTTAGAAAGACAAATGAGGTTTGAAATGACCTTCCTTTGAAAAAGGTAGAAAATAAGATACGGAAGATAAAGATAAAGGAAGAGATTTAAAACGGAACATAAAACCTCACAGAACATTTTCAAAAATAAAAGAAGAAGCCAGTGGATCCTTTGTTTTGTTTTCACACATCCCAAGTTTGACTTGACATGCATAAAAGACAGACAGACGATTTGTGGCTCTTTGGAGGCCCCTCTGCAGCACCATTTATTGAAACTGGAGACCCGCAGCTCTGGACCTCTCTATGAGAGGATTCCTCTTCCCATAATATGTTATTGTTGTACATCAAGTCCCTGCTGTGCGTCCTGGAGGTCTCTGACTAACTCCGTCCCATCGAGATTCAATTCACGACTGAGTGGAGGAGGGATGGTGGGCTCTGCAGTACTCACATCTTCTAATTTGATTATGTGTTTTGAATCCTCTGAGAAAAGGGGGAGGATTCGGCAGCAGGTGGACTCAAAGCTTCTGCTTATCATCAGAGGTCGCTGTCTCTTATTTTCATTCACATTTTTAAACTAGTTGCAGAACAATTATGTGCAAAAGCAACCATGTCTGTCTCTTGCTGTTGTTGTCTAACAAATAGCTCCAGTTCTGTCGGTTATGATAGGTGGCTTCTTTAAGCATCAGTCATTAAAGTTATAGGGAAACCACTGTTCCAACCGTTGCATTTCAGAATTCTCCCGAGTGGTGCACGACTTTACAAGAGTGAATAAAGTGAATGTGATTGGTTGTTGCACTCGCATGAGGTCGCCGGCGACCCGGTGGACCTTAAAGGGGGGTAATAAATAAGAATGCCTAAAATTCCACCAGTAACATTTTTACCACTATAGACATGTTAGACATCATTGGAAAGCTTAGATTCTCCACAATTCAACTACCAAGATCATTTTATGGACACAGCGAGCACCAAAGCAAAATCAAAACAGATATAGCAGCATGTCAAAATGTAAACAAGCAAAGTAGCCACAACTATATACCTTTGAAGGCATCCAGAAGCCGTTTTATAAATCCAATCTTCACTTGGTTATACACCATTTGTCCATAAGGGTCCACAGATTAAAAGTAATCCAGCATATTAGTAATAAAAATATTTCATGATGAGAAAATCGCCCATAGCGTCTGGTTGTTGACATCAGAAAATTCAGCTAGTCATAGCTTATTCTAAGCATCTTGCTAATATTTACCTTTAATACTTATTTCCTCGGTTGTTAGCCCGCGATGTTTGGTATGGTTCTTTACATTGTGTTTTTATCTACAAGACACAAGTGTCTCCATATTTGTATGACGCGATTTGAGCGAGATATACTCCCCATAAGCTCACCTCCGATTCACTTCCGGTCTACATCCTGTCAGCCAGTCACGTGCGTTATGATGACCTTTAATTCTTTGGTTTTAATTTATAAGACGTGTGTAGTTTATTTAAAGCGGTATCGCTTTATAGGGTTGTTTTAGAGAGAAACACACCAGCGGGTGGATCCATTGCACGTCGCTCCATGCTGACACCAAAAGTCCCAAACCCCACAGCTCTGGAACTGATATCGCTAGAGGTCTGAATTTTCTGCATTTGTGGTTGACAAATATAATACAATGAAACCTGCTTTTTCTCAAGAATGTCTTTATTACTGCTGTTCAAAAAAGACCTATCATTTCCGAGAATAAAAAAAACCCAACTTGGAGTCATGTTTTACCTGATGCAGCTTGGTCTGTCTTTTACTCACCAAATTTTAATTTATATATTCAAACTGAGACTAGAAACTAGAGGGTGTTAGCTTTCAATGAATGTATTGCACATGTCATGTGGACTTACTGTTCCTAAGTTGTTTGCTTTTCCATTTGGATATGCAAAATAGGCGAGGATTACCCAAAATGAGGTGGATGTTAAGAGGTTAAATGAATTATGTGTGCAGATTTAATACCATGAGGCCCCCGAATGTGTCAAAACCATGAGTTCATGCTCCTTCTCTTGCTTTTTAGGGCTCCTGGAGATTCTCTCCTACTATCTGTGGACCTGTTTATGTGTCTCAAACCTTTACCACTTTGAGGGAGGAACCAAACCAAGAGAGAAAACTGCTCATGTGTCTATCAGGTTTCAGAGACATTAGAATGCTTCCTGAGCTTTAGCTCCAGCTTTACTTCAACAATCAGACTGGTTTTCCTACTAGACTAATGTTTTATTCACTTTGGGATCAAACATCTTCTTGACCCTTTTTTTTAACTTTTTGGATGATGTCCCGCGAGTCCCGCACTCGCTCTCCACCATTGCTTCGGCTTGTTGACCAACTGCATGCTTGGGCAACGTGCTGTAATCCCGATCCCATGATGTTGTTATGGTAAATATAAACAGAAAATCTTTATGTTCTAACAAATGGCAAAAACAAACAATAAAAGACTAAAAATTATATATGCTACATAGGGGTGTGGGAAAAAATCGTTTTGGCAATGTATCATGATTTTTGGCTGCCCGATATAATATCGACCTTTCAGTTCCTAGTATCGATTTTTTTAAAACAAAAAATATTTTATCTAAAACAATGAGGGAAATTGGGCCACCGCTACACTGGCAGATAGTGCTGCTGAGCCCTTTTGCTGTTTGGCACAACGCCGTTTCTGTAGTTGAGGCAGTCACAGCGGAAGATGGGACTAATTAATCCCCAAATATCATGGATACCAAAAAAAGTTAATTATCAATATCTTCTGATGAACATATACAGCACCTGTTGTTTTATCTCTAGATTTAATTTGACAGCAGGGAAAAATATCGCAATATATAGTGATATATTAATATCGTGATTATATTGTATCACGACCCAACTATTGTGTATCGCAACACCCATGCCAATACTCACCCCTAATGCTACACCATTTTTTTTGTCGGATAAATGTTAGGTGAAGCCAGAGTGACTAACTGCTGCATAGAACAAAAAGATTTAAGATGCTATACAAAACATTACATTTGTGGCTTTATATGGAAAAAAAATATGGAAAAGTGTGAGGGTTGGGATTATATTTGTGTTTTTCACTGTGTAAGTTTGCAGGTTTAACGAACTTGATCAGGTCTTCCTCTAATACCGGCCGAGTGAGGACAGACAGCAGAGGAAACTGATTAAATTCAACCGAGTAAAGTTCTGTTTGCCTCTGGGAGCGTTAACGGCTCTTAACTTCTGAGCAGAGGTGTTTAATGGTTGACTAGCAGTTTCTGGGAACTACCCTGTGCACCAAAGGTACCGTCTTCTCCATTTAAAACACAATTGAAAGGCCTGAGTCCCTTTAAAGATTAACCACAGTTTTCTGCTGCAGGTTAATAGGAAATTATGTATATATATATATATATATATATATATATATATATATATATATATATATATATATATATATATATATATATATATATATATATATATATATATATATATATATATATATATATATATATATGATGACAAATGTGACTTTGATGGAGCGTCGCTGCCGTCTAATCTTTCCAGCAAACGAGACTTGATCAAAGAGGATTTCAGCCATGGTGCATAAAAATCAGAGGATCAAACACTGTCGACTGCCGTTCAGTTTTACACATTTAAAGCATCAAGCATGATGTGAGTCACTGCCTTTGAGAAAGAACTGAGGCATCGACATGAGCTGAATATATATAGACATGCTTGTGGTTGAGGTGGGTACACGCAGGCTGCTTAACATGCAATGAGTCTGTATTTTGTAATAAATAACACTTAGCATTCAGACTGACTTTATCTTGTGTTTTTCATTTATTTTCCTCTCCTGGAAACATTTACGGCTTTCCCATTATCTGTTATTGTGTGACAGCGCTGCATAATTCATTGGTCTTTTCTGTAGTACCAACAAACCAAAATGGGGAGGTGAATAGATGTGATTTGCTGTTTTTTGTGAGTTGATCTGAAAAAGTGACAAGATAACCTGTCAATTAAAGTTGAAATGTTTAATTTGAGTTACATTTTAAAGGCTAAGCTGGTCTCTTGAAGATCATTTTAGAATATAAAGACACAATTCTTGTTTTAGTTTTTGACAATAATGAAGAAAAGTTTTAAAATTTCACGAATTCTCTCAGATACCTGATCCTATTAAGTTTTGCATGTAGCTCGATTAGAATGAGGAAATAACATTAAAAAAATTAAGATTTTCTCTTTATATACCTTCACAGAAAGACAAAAAAACATTTTTTTTCTGAAAGAAAATAAGGTTATAAACACTGAGCATCATTCAGACAGGGTTTAGTCCTAAATAGAATTCCAGCACTAGGTGTAATGAGCAGATATAAACATAGGTGGCACCAGGTGGTGCTGGCATTAGCACTGAACTATGTAACGCCCACAATTGCTGTAAACCAACAGCTCTGTGTGGTCAAGGTGATATAAATTATATAAACTGATTGTCAGAGGCTTTAAGTTCCAGTGAATCCTCCTCAGGGCAAAGTAAATTCAGGTTCCTTGCAAATGCATACAGGGTCACAGCATCAAGTTAAGAAACCAGTCAGTCTAGGAGTAATTTATAGAGACTAAGAAAAGCATTCCTATCAATAGCAGTATTAATAAGAATGTATCAATAAGGCCTTAGTCCTCGACGCGGCCGACCCGGGTTTGAATCTGACCTATGCTCCTTTGCCGCATGTCTCTCCCCCTTTCCTATCAGCCTACTGTCGAAGAAATGAGCCACTAGTGCCGCAAAAACTCAAAAAAAAGAAAAAGAATGTTTACTTGTGCATCCATTAACCCTTTGAACCCGAGGGAGAGTACCTCATCAAGTTACTCAACTACAACAGTGATAAATGATGCATTAATGACAAAGAATATAGCAATGAATCATATCAAATTAGAGTGTAGAATTTAGGCTACAAGCCGGCACAAACATTTTTAGATTTTGCAAAACACAATTAAAGTTATTCCCAAATGAAATTAAAGATTTCCAGACTTGCTGATAAAGCAGGAAGCTTTAAAAACTCCTCTAATGCTAGCAAGTAAGGCTATCATGTGAAGTGGGTCGGACATGAGCCCTCCCTCCATCGCCACATGGAAGTCATTGATCCTGGTTATGAAGTTTTAATTAGTGTATGATTAGTCAGAATCAACCAATCCAACCACACACAGCTAGGTGCTGTGAAACTGAGGGCGCAGACATGTGTGCTTGAATTTTTAAATAGTTTCCCAAAATATTTGGATTAAATTCTCCTCATTGCCATTAGTGATCTAGAAATGGAAAAAATGAAAATATACAGATGATGCCAGCTGTGCCAAAATGGTTACTTTGGAAACTTAGCCATAGCCGTTTTTTTGTAAAAAAAAAAAAAAAAAAAAAAAAAAAAAAAAAAAAAGCAGCTTTCTTATTCTGTTTAGCTTCACTTTAGAAAGGAAGGTCTTTGCAAAAACAATGTCAACATATTGTTCTTTAGTGTGAAAGAGAGCAATGGCTTCCTAAGTATCATTTAGTAATGTTGCTGACGCTGAAAGGTTTTTTTTCAGGTGAGGGTTTAAATTTTGCTGTACTGTCTTCATTTGTTTAAAGGAGAATTACGGTTTTTAACACTTTTAGCCCATTTTCTGTAGTGTCCAGGATGAAATCGAATGATCGACACCAAAATTTTGACAATTGGTCCTGTCTCTGCTTTTTGACTCATTTAGAATCCACCCCTGGCTGCTTCAGAATGGCTTCCATAGTGCATGTCCGATAATGTCCTTAAAACAACCTTAAACGTTCTTTTTTAAAAATATGCTACTCACCGGGTCGTCAGCGCTGTTCAATGACGTTCCAAAAAAAGTTTCGTAAAGAAAAAACGTTCCTGTAGTGTTTTATTTAGCATTTTGTAAATCCCATTGAGTTCTGTTGGAATAGTCAATATTCCCCTGCCACCAGAAACGGAAATTGGGCCTGTTTACACAGTTGTAGTCTTTTCGCTTCACTCTGTGTACTCCGACGTCGAGGTGCTAACGTCTCTGTTAAACACTTTAAAAAACTCTGAAAATGGAATACGAAAGGTGGATTCTTGATTCTCGACGTCGGAGTACACAGAGTGAAGCGAAAAGACTACAACTGTGTAAACAGGCCCCATTTCCGTTTCCGGTGGCAGCGGAATATTGACTATTCCAACAGAACTCAATGGGATTTACAAAATGCTAAATAAAACACTACAGGAACGTTTTTTCTTTACGAAACTTTTTTTGGAACGTCATTGAACAGCGCTGACGACCCGGTGAGTAGCATATTTTAAAAAAAGAACGTTTAAGGTTGTTTTAAGGACATTATCGGACATGCACTATGGAAGCCATTCTGAAGCAGCTAGGGGTGGATTCTAAATGAGCCAAAAAGCAGAGACAGGACCAATTGTCAAAATTTTGGTGTCGATCATTCGATTTCATCCTGGACACTACAGAAAATGGGCTAAAAGTGTTAAAAACCGGAATTCTCCTTTAATTTTTACATCAGTAACACATAAAGTAATATTCACAGGTATCCTTTAATCTCTCAAGTATTTCATTTATTGAAATAGACCTTGTAAAATGGGCTTAATAACTCCTGCAGCTCCTGCATCAGTGAACACCAACATTCAGAGTGTATTCTCAGCACTTTTCCAGTCTCATTCCTCTTGGAACCAAATTATTTTGCATTGTTTCAATCTGGATCTTGGACTTTTCTTTATTATTTTCACACTTTTCTGGAAGGTGCTAACTGTCTTAGCTCCAATAGGCTACCTCCTCGTTTACCCCCTGCACACATGCTTATTGTCAAACCTCCGCTGTTATTATAAGCAAACAAATAAGTGTAAAACAGAAAAAGAACGAAGGATGGGGTACTAGGAAAAAACTTATGCAATCAGACTTATTTGGCTGCATATTAATTCAACAAAAAAAAAATCAAATTAATACAACTATGTACTTTTATGGAAAAGAATCACTATGTGTCTCTACTTTGGTCTCACCTGTGCAAATCATATCATTCTAGAAGTCTTCTTGTTCTTGTCTTCTTGTCTTCTTGTTCTAATTAATATAGACTATTAACCTAAAGCAATATGCATTGTTGTTACTTGTCAGGTACTCCGGTCATTGACATTGACCAAAGCACCTTACAGTAGAACTGCAGTCAGTCTCTGGACTTGCATGGCTATCACTGCACTTACATAGTTAGGGACTAATTACCCACTGGGATCAGCTTCATAGTCATGGTAGGACACTTCTTTAATTTGATTTATTTTGCTCAAGCTACTCGTGAGCCAACAGCCCACCAAATGTTCAAATGGCATTATTACTGCCATTACGGTTAATATATAATAGACATTTTACACATTCAGTCATAAAATCTCACAGGGGATGGTATGGGGGGAATGGTGATTTAAGAAGTGGGATGATTTTTAAGATTTTGTTTTAAGAAGGGGGATGCCATCCCCCCCTTCATCCCCCCTTAACTCAAATACTGAAAATAACTGACATGAATTGCCAACTTTTCAACATGACAGTATGTAACAAAAAACTTTTGCTTTAAACCACATTTTATTATCCAGAAAGATAAACAATAAACAAAGATAAGCAACATAGAAAAAATATTTTTTAGTAGTTAATGACTAGATTTAGCAACGTCTTTCTAAGATTATTTGCAGATATCTTGTTCGAAACAGTCTGACTTTGTTTTGCGTGCCAATCAGCTGCAGGACAGCATCATAAGTGGCTTTCTGCTCTGTTGTCACTACACACACACAAGTGTCAGTTATAAATGGCTCTCAGCAGGGACATCATGTGATAGGAAGTGAAGAAACTGAATTAGTTTGAATATATCTGATACTTTACATTACTTTAGATAAAATATAAGCAATAAAACCTTTACTGTCTTGTTATTGCTAATTGTTGCATCTCAGCCCTCAGTGCCTGTTGACCATTTTAAACATAAACCTCTATGTAATTTATAGTCCTGAACATGATACGTAACTTTTAACATTTCAAGCAAATACAAATGTAAGGAGTTTAATGTCTTTGCATCCAGCCATTTTTAACGAAACTTGTATATAGAATCCTAGCTTTGTGCAAAAATAGGTTGATTCATTTAATTTGGACCAACATTTGGTCTGTCAACTATCTTGTGGATACCTGCCCAATATGGCGCAGTATTACAGAAAAATGGATGACAGAGGGATTCTTTGGTGTTCTCAAACAGAAAACTCGGTATACATATTTGAAGTAAACACCAGGCTCCAAGGTATGGTTATAGTCTATTGGGAAGCTAGGTTTGATAGGGAACATGCACAAATGTAAAACACATTGTTTTACATTTAGGGCAGCAAAATGGTGTTTTCACATATAACACGAATGACATGATAAGAAATTTTGCCATCAGGGTCCAACTACTTACACCAGACTGTTCTCTATGTTCAGTTCAATGTTAATTTCCATCCATGGCTGGGAACAGTGCTACCAAGTATGTCTAATGCGTTACACCAAAGCATTTTTATCTGTTGGAATGGCCCACTAAAAGACCTAAATCTACCCGAAAATCTGTGGATAGACCTGAAAACTGATGTTCACAGAAGTTTGGGATATTATCCAAATTGAAATTGGACATTTTTGTCTCCAGATTTGATCAAACTGGTAGAAAGAAACATCAATAATCTAGAAAGTGTGATAATCTTTGATAGATTTTTGCATTTTTCTGATTTGGGTTCCTATGTGACTACAGGTATGGATATCTTTGCTAAACACTGTAGACAATGTTGCATTTATCAGATGAATCTTCAATGAGTTGCCTCTCTGTGTCAGTGTGGTAGCACATTCAGCCCTTCTATGAACTGCTGTTATTCAGCTCACTGGAAACTTGATTGCTGCCGGCCTGCAGGCAAACTGCTAATCAAAATAAAGGGCGATAAGAGCTCTTTTGACTGCTGCTCTCACTCATGTTGTCCTCCTCTCCTCCTGCAGACAGTGAGATCGTTCCTCCGGACTGTCTGCGACCACGTTCCTTCACCACGGTGCGTTCCTCCTCCCTTCGGCGTGAAGCTGACGACTCCCGCCTCTCCATCAGCCTGTGTGATCTCAACCTGCAGCAGGAGGAGCGAGGCCCCACCCACTCTCACCGCCACACCCTCCACCTGGCCTCAGCTTCCTCCTCGTCCTCCTCTTGCCCCATCCCCCAGAACTCCCTAAACTCGCAGCAGTCCTCCATGCTGCCCTCTGCCCTGGAGAGCGACCTGCATTTCCACCAACTTCGCGGTGCAAACATCAAGACGCTTGACGAGCAGACCGTGGCACGGTCTGAGCACGCCCGGGAGGAGCGGACGTTGGTCTTCACCAACCGGCCCTTGCGCACTGGAGAGACTGTCTTCATCAAGGTCACCAAGTCCAGCCCGGCACGCTCAGGCTCATTGTCCTATGGGGTAACTTCCTGCGACCCGGCAGTACTGCGCCCCAGCGACCTGCCATACAACCCAGAGGCTCTGGTGGACAGGAAAGAATTCTGGGCCGTGTGCCGGGTACCGACTCCTCTGCAGAGCAGCGACATCCTGGGTTTCCTGGTTAACCAAGAAGGGGAGGTCATCCTCAGCCACAACGGCACCGATGTCGGTATGCAGGTGTGTGTGGACAACTCCCGCCCCCTCTGGATGTTCTTTGGCCTGCATGGAGCTGTGACGCAGCTGAGGATTCTGGGTAAGAACTGAAGGCAGAACATGATCACTATTATAAAGTCATATATATATATATATATATATATATATATATATATATATATATATATATATATATATATATATATATATATATATATATGGCCGGAAAGTCTAAGCTATCAGTTTAGGCCCCAAATATAAGGTTGTGTTTTGATAGGTTTGTTACCATCAACCATGGTACATCTGTCACACAATTGGTGATTATCTAATGCACTTCACTTTTTTGCCAAGTTGAGAATTTTTGAGGTTAGTGTAAAATAAACCGAACCATTTTTTTTTTAAATATATATTTTTATCAATCTGTGTATGAGTGGGTCAAAATGAGCTGATCTAAAGCTGTAGATAAGCTGTTACTCTTAGAAACTAAACCATAGACAATGGCTGATAGGGAGCACTCACTAAACTCTAAAAGATCTCCCCCTCCTCAGCAGGAAGAGTCTGTTCCTCCTCTTCATTCCACCTACATTTTATCATTGACATAAACACACTTATAAGAGTCAGCTGCCTTGATGTCAGTTTCCTGGATGTCCACCAGTGTTGTGTGGCATATTGTCATACTTATTGTATTTTCTTTAAACAATAGTTGAATGTCAAACATAGAACAGAAATGTTCTCATATGTTCGATCTATTGATTAATGCAATGTGAAATATTTTGTCAGTTAGATGGACTTCCCCTGTCTTTAATGCCCTCGCCTAACCTAGCTTTGAGGATAAGAGATGCAGATGTTAACATATAGTGGTGACTGTAATGTAAAATCTTTATCACGTTAATCAACATTAATTCAATTGAAAGTTTCATCAGTAATATTTAATTCAATTAAAAAATGCTTTATAAATCCCAAAGGAAAATTAAATGTTGCAGTAACTCATATGTTATTTTGTATCCAGGTGTTGTAGTTGTTGATAGCTGTAGGCAGGAAAGGATCTTCTGTAGAGGCTTGTGTTGTACCGGATCTGGAGGAGCCTCTGACTGAAGACACTGTGTTGTTTAACAATCTTCTGAAGAGGATGCTCACTGCTGTCCATAATCTTCTTCACTTTATGAAAAATCTTCTGTGCGAAATGATCTCCAGAGTTTCTAGAGGAATTTCTAGAACAGAGCTGGCTAACTTTATTAGCTTGTTGAGCATTTTCAAGTCGTTTTTTCTGATGCTGTTACTCCAGCAGATGATGGCTGATGTCTGATCATCGTTCTGGTTGAAGCCTGTCATCTTCTTCAATCCTGACCATGCATCTCGGATATTGCTCTGCTGGAGCTTGTTTTCCAGCTCTTTCCTGTATGGTTTCTCTTATTCTGTTTATACAAAAAAATACTCTGTTTATACCTTAAACAAATTAAGGTATAAACTTACTCTTTATTTATACCTTAAGTTGCTTCTGTATAGTCATTAATTACTCATTAATTCCCTGTCTCCCTTCTTAAAGGCTTGTTTTTTCCTGTTAAGCAGCTCCTTCAGCTCACTTGTGATCCATGGTTAATTATTTGGGAAGTATTTCACTGTCCAAGTAGGAATGGTGTTATCTACACAGAAGTTTATATAGTCAGTCTCGCACTCAGTCATTGCATTGAAGTCCTCGCAAACAGTGCATCCCAGTCTGTAGCCTCAAAACAACCTTGCAGGGCTTCTTCATCTTCCTGATAATTGCAGGTTGTCTCTTATGAAGTGGCTTCTACTCTGAGCAGAGAAAAGAAAGACTGTCATCTGATTTCCCAAGAGGATGTCTTACTTCAGAGATGACATTTACATAAAACAAGTCCAAAATGTTGTTTTCTCTGGTGCAGCAGCTGACAAACTGTTGGAACGTTGTGAAGCTTGATTAAAATCGGCAGTTATATGTAGCCAAAAGAACGGAACGTTTTGTTATATTTCTTGAGTTGTGTCAGCTTTCATTTCCATTACTAAAGCAAATCTTTCATATCTTCACCAAATTTATAAGTTTTAATTTGCCCTGGGTTAGTGCAGAAATAGGTTATTAAAATGCAAATACATAATAATTAGTAAATAACAGAATATAGAAACATTAAGAAAACTTATGAAACAGTCAAAAGTAAATAAATAAAACACTAGAAAGACTTGCAGTCATATTAATCCGCCTGCTTTCTCTCCCCTGCTGGAGAAAAGGTTAGTTTTTCTGTCTTTTTCCAGACTTCCTCTCCGGATAATCCCACTTTGGAGGAAGAATTGATCTGGGTACTAACCATCCCTTTTACTAAGGGACGTGTGCTAGGTCAGAGGTTCACAGATCAATATATTGATCCTTATTCGATCCAGCGCTGGGGTGATGGGACCTCTATCCTTAACTACTTTACATTCCACACTGGCTGAAATGGATTCCTGTTAAGTGTAGAAGGCTTGGACACCGCGCCAGCTGAGGAACTCAGGGGTCAAAAGTGAAGGAGCGCACTCTGTTACTTTGTTTGCTGCGATATTTACAGCACACTTCTTGAAGAGGGAAGGATGTGAGTACATTCAGTGAAGAGTAGTGATCTGTCCTGAACTGGAAAAACAGGATGTGAGCAGAGGAGGGGGAAAAATAAAAAAAATAAAGGTAGTGAGCTCAGCTCAGTGTCTCATTTAGAGGTTTTCCTTTTTTAATAAAGATATTTTACTGGATTATTTTACTAAATAAATACAGTTGGTGGAGGACACCTTTAGCATGATAAACAGATTGTATAGAAATCTGCAAAATAAATCAAACAATCAAATAAATCTGTTAAAGGCTCTAAATAATAGTTATGCCAGATGCATCATGCAGCATGAAAACACCTTGAACAGCAACAAAACCTGCAGAACTGTTTCAAGCGTTTAACTGTTTAGGAACTAAAACTACATCCTGTTGTCCTTCTGGGATGGAAGCGGAAAAGACAGCACAGCTTAAAAAGGTTCAGAGCTGCTGAAACACAAAAGGAGACGGATCTTGTTCTTTAAAGAGTGTATATAAAAAAATCAGTGAAATAAATGGTTAGGGTTAGGGTTAACCCTAAGTTTAAGTTTAAAACCTCCTTTTACATTTAAAAGGACATTGGATATCTCTCTGTGTAATGCTTTTCATTGCAGGTTAATTTGAATTTTTAATTTGAAAACAATGTTCAACATTTAAATTTTTTTGTTTTTTTTTATCTCCACACCTCCTGCATTGATCCATAAAGCTTCTTTTTGGAATATCCAGTTTCAATATATAGAATCTATAGAAATATTTATATTTACATCTACATGTATATATCATGTATATAAACCAAGCCTTTAAGTAATATACCTGTCCTGTAGGAAGTAAACGCTGTTGTTTTACATAAAACATACACTAAACATAATTTCTTTATTCAGAAATGGGTTGAAACAACCTTTTTTTAATCAGTTAATTTGTTGACTACTTGTTCAATTATTTGAATAAAACTAGAATATCAAAGGGTGCTTTGGAATATTTCAGTCTCTTTCTTCATTAATTACTCATCTACTGAATTAATTGATTAATTAGGATAAATCTGGTTTAGTATTGGTCTGAGATAAAATAACAGACAACAAACATATTTTTGGTTAATTTATCTCAGACCAATACGCCAGGAGTTCAGTTTAAGCAAAGCAGCAAATTTGCTCCAAAGTAAATGATTTCAAAATGATGAATGAGCCAACATACATAAGCAAATAGGAACACAGTGTGAAAGTTTTCTTTCTCCTTTCTTCAATACTGATTTCCTGTGGCCAACTGGGTAGTTTTAGCTTGGTGCAGGACATATGTTGGATTTCATAAGCACTTATAAATCTGCAAATACCGTCCAAAATAAACTTTTTTGGGAGGCTCATCAGAATGTGTGCTAACGTTTTCCTCTGCTCCTTCCTCCATTGTCTTAGTGTTGACCTGCGTGTTCAATGTGTTCACCCTTATTTGACTAGACCCCCTTCCCCAACCGACCATCAGCTGACAACAAAGCAACAGACGAGCCTGTCGATAAGTCACAGCGGGCCTCAGTAAAGCTGTTCCCTGTTGACATAGATCAATTCAGCAAATGCCAGAACAGCAGACAGTGGGCCTTTATGGACCTTAATGTCGCCTCGACTCTCTGATTGTCGACTGTGCTCACAATAATTCCTTTATTTGTTGTTTTTGCAATCAGGTCCAATAGGTCTGCAGTGAGCACACTCTGTGATACCTCACAGCTAAATTAGAGTTTGGCTGGAGCTCCGCTGACCACCTGGTCTCCCTGTGTGTTTCTGAAAGTCATTTACGGACTGTTGGCAGTGCAACAGAAACAGGAACCGGAGAACAATGAAAGATCCGAGGCACGTCTCCGTATCTGCTCCCATCTTTTGAAATCCCACTGAAGTGTGACTCGTCTTTACCTTTCAGCTGCTTCGAATTAGGAAGCGTCTCTTATCTGGTTGTTTTAGCTCCTTATCTGCTGATTTGCTCGGAGCAGTTTCAGCCGATGGGGTTGAAATGTACCAGTTGGAGTGATCCAGCTCCACCAGATGGAGAGAGATAGCACAGAAAGGAGTAATTGACCACTCTGATAAGAACAGAAATTCATGAGGGGGTGTTAGCATGGAGTGCCTGGACATAGTAATGGATTGACTAGATGAAATAAGGTTTGGTGCCTTTAGAAGTCAATTTGTTCAGCAACGATCCAGCATTTCTTTTGGCACCAAATTACAAGGCAATCAGAACATAATATAACCCATAGAAGATTTGAATGAAAACCTGATTTAAAAAGCCAATAAACATAGAAGTGAATGTGTGGACTGCAGGATTTTCACTTTCAGTATCGTTTTGGTAGGTGTCCCATGCTCCCCAACAAACACTGTGAGGGAAAGAAAAGAATAATGGAGAAGGGGAGTTATGGCTGCAGCTCGCAGGAGTTACTACTTTCAGGTTTAATAGCGCCGATATTTTAAGTTTGCCCTGCTGCACAGTCTACAACCTATCCTCCAAACATGTGCCTGCAGATGTTTTGTTGTCATTTCCCTCCTTTGAAAGCACAA